AGCTACGCTATAAAAATTGAGACTGGAGAATGATCAATGATCATGTCAATGTTGCAGAGTCAAACTTTAAAATTTGGGTTTTGTATTGAAAGGGGACAAAGGGAAAAGGCCTTTCTGGTATACATTGGTCCATTAGCTAGCCCCGGCTTCTAGTTGTATTTAATTGGTGGTTACCTGCAATGCTAGTCCTTATTGATCCCACTAGCCAAATGATTCCATCAAGTCATTGTTGGCAAATTGCTTTCATTACAATATCCTGGAAAAGCAGGAGTTGGTGGTTCTTTTCATTTTGAACAACAATAAACACACAACTGACTTTATTTCTAAAAGTAGGCTGATGTCAACGACTCTTATACCAGAGTAACCTTATCGTAGCTTTCGGATCAATCATTGCAGCAATTCAACGATGGCAGAGGCAGCCAAGGAGTGTCCTAGTGTGAGACTGTCCATTTGTGGCCGGGGGATGAGCGGGGGATGAGGGGTGTTTTTGAGCATCCATTGATTTTCCTTAGTTTGCCTTTTGCAAAGTCATCTACATCCATGACTCGCTCCTCACCAGTTCATGGGGCTGTGGTTGATAGGATGGCTTTTCACTGTCTCTCTAAGCTTCGTTCAATGGCATTTCCGTCCTTTAACTCATTGTAGCACAAAGCCAGTTCACAGTCTATGTTGATTTGGTCAGTCACCAGGCTTTTATCCTTCATTCAAGCTGAAAGCCAAATATCATTTTGGTTGGTTCACACACACAAACTCTTGGCCATGCTTCAATTTGTGTTGATTTGTTTTGTAAGCCGGCCTTGTTTTTTTTTTTTTTTCTTTAACCGAACCATCATTCAGGATGTGTTAATCTGTTGGCTAGCATCAGCTTCAAACTCCATGTAGTCCGTGTGTCCTGGGTCATCCGTCCATCTCTGACTTTCAGCTCCAAAGACAAAAGTTACTCGTGGTTTGGCAGGTAGAGCCTTTCTCGGCTGGAGAAAGGTAGAGCTTGCCGTTCGCACACGAACACAGCTCGTACACAGTCTGTTTTTTGTAGGTGGTTCCTGCGGGTGCTCCCTCCAAGGGGTCCACAGCACTGCCAACGGGGATGTTGCCCAACCTGATGGAGTGGGCATCTATTAAGATCTGAAAACACCAAGCACAAGAGGGTTTAGATAGCATTAGTCATTTAGAAAGAAATACAAATCACAAATGATTTATATTTGAAATCAACAAATGTATTCCTCT